TCGTCCCCCATTCTTTTTCCAAGAGGGAGGGTTAAATTAGGTCTACCTGGGCGTGTCTCGCCCTCTTTCTGGCCCTTGGCTCGGGCGTCGCCTCTGCCGCACTGCGCTCGCGGTGCCTTGGGGCGTGAGCTCCTGCAGGGTCGTTGTGACCCGCATCCCCCGCTCGGCCCACGCTCTCTCCGGGGGACCGCAGGGCGGCTCCAATGATGATCTCACCATGCTCACCATTAGCAACACATGCAGGTGTGTGTCTGTTTGCATGTGTGTTCTCCAAGAAAACTAATCCTTCTAAGGAGAAATAGTTTTTTCTAAGGGGTGGATTTCGAGAATGCACTGCATTACATACTTTATGAGATGAGAAGAGAAAACTAACATTATTAGAAGTATTAGAATGTCGTAAGGATAACCCCTTATTAGAAAACATCCAGGAAACAAAATTCCAAAGGGGAAAATAAAAGATAAATAAAATATAAATAACTTCAACTTCTAGATGGTTCAGATTGTCTACATATCTTAAAATTTTCTTTGTGTATACACATTTGAAGTTTTAAGTTAAAAATGTGGACAAAAATGGTATCTTGTCTTAATTTGCATGTCTTTGATTGTCCGTAGGCTTTGACACTTTATCCTCTGTGTAGTAGCCTTTTGCATTTCTGTAGGTGAGCTATTAATTCTTTTGCCCATTTTTCAATTGGAGTATCTTTCTCTTCTTGATTTTTAAGCACTTTATGTGTACTATATATTAAAGTATTAATTCTTTGTCACATGTAGCACTAAATCGAGTGTTTTATGTTAATTTTTACTAGTCCTAATTCCAAATGATCTTTTGGATACTTTGTCAGTTTTTTATTTGGATGGTTATGGGCATATAAATTTGACAAAACTCATCAAAATGTATATTTAAGCAGTGCATTGTATTGTATGTAAACTATACCTCAATAAAATTGATTTTTTAAAAGGCCTAGAAAATTATGATGCTGAATAATGAGACAGTCTGCCCAGTCAGCATTAAAAGCTGTTATAAAGCTTTCGTAATGAAAATAACATGGCTCTGGCACCACAGTGCAGAGAGCGAGAGATACCAAATCCACAAACAGATTATATATATATATATATATATATATATATATATGTAATTTAATTTATTATAGCTATGGCAACCTAAATCATAAATTTAAAAATGGACTTAACAGATGCTCTGTCATGTTCACCTTCCCAGTGTCTAACGCAAGACTCAGTGTTGAATCGAATACTTAATTATGGTTATAAAAGTAATACTCTTTGCAGAAGTGTGAAAGCAAAACAGGAAATTGCCATAATGTTGTACCCAAGTGAGTCAAGGAATGCGCCACACTCTGAGAATGAATTACGAGTCCTTTATTAAGCCGGCGACCGAGAGTGGCTAATGCCCAAAATTCTCTGGGCCCCAAAGAAAAAGTTAGGTGGTCTTTTATACACTAGTTTTAACAGGAAGGGGAGAACCTAGCAGGAACAAACTTTTCACAAAGGCAGAATAAGCAAAAAGTTAAAAAGAAAAACTGATACATAAGAAATAAAACAGTGCCGGGTGTGAGGAGTACAGCTGTCATGAAAGACATACAACTTACATAAGGCGGGCTCTGGGCACCCACTGCAGCTGCATTTTCAGGCTCTGCTGATACCACTTTACTCGGCCTCTTATCAACAAAGGCATTTCTGGGTGCCCAGGGTCAGTCTGACCTTGCTTTATACTATACTTCCATACTTAATGGGGAGAAGGTTACTAAAATGAAGAAGCCAAGATGGAGTCTGTTCAGCTCTAAAAGGCTAACATAAAGCCTGAACAGCTTTTAGTCAAGGAAAGGAGAGTTAGTTTTAGCTGGCAAAAAGCAGAGTATCACAATCCCCATACCCTTCATTTCTCCTTTGGTAAATTATACTCCACATTAAAAATAAAATGGTCAGAGCTCTGTACATTTTTCTGTAATTTACACTGACAGAGTTTGCATTTCTCCCTTCTCATCTTTGTCTACTTGGGCTGCTGTAACATTCCTACTGACTAGGTGGCCTAAAGAGCAGACACATTCCTCAGAATTCTGGAAGCTGGAAGTTCCAGATCAGGGTGCCAGTGTGGTTAGGTTTTGGTGAGGGCCCTCTTCCTCATTTACATGTCAGAGAGCAGAGAAAGGAAGTGATCTCTTCTGTCTTTTAAGGATGATAATAAGGAGCATGCATTCCTGAGGGCTGCATGGTCATAACCGGTTTACCTTCCAAAGACGCATCTCCAAAAACCATCGCAGTGGAGATTGGGGTTTATAACATGAATTTTGGCTGGGGAAGAGGAGGACAAACATTCAGTATATAGCACAAACCTGGCCAAGATTTCTTTTATGTCAACGTATTTAAACCTTTCTCTTCTTAACATGTCCACAGCATACTCTTTTATGATTATCTAAAAATCTGTTCCCTTTGCTAGGCACTTCATTTGCCTGCAGTTCTTCCCTCCTTCCTTCCTTCCTCCCTCCCTCCTACCCTCTTCCTCTCTTTCTTCTTTCCTTTCCGTTTTCTTCCTTTCTTTCTTCCCTGTCTCCCTCCATGCCTCTCCCCCTTTCTGTCTTTTTCTTTCTACTACCAACTAAACAGCAGTGAACATTTCTTATCCATCTTTGGTAGCATGTGTTGGCATTTCTGCAGAGTATATTCCTAGAAGTAGGATTGCTATGTCAAAGGGGATGCACATACAAAATTTTTATAGATATTGCCCCAACATTTCCTCCAAAGATTGCACCAATTTATATGCAAGTGCCTAGTTGTTGAACTGTGCCACTCTCACTTGAAGTAAATAAAATTCAGATGTTAAATATAGAGATTAATTATGGAGAAAGGCATCTCTATTACCAAGTCTTTTCACCTGAGCATTATTTTTCTGTTTATTAATGACTTTTTAAATACCCTTTGGTAGAATTTTGTAATATGTGTGTATATTCTGCATATTTCTGAAATTTATTTCTAGATATTTTTGTTATTTATTTTTTCCCTTTTGACTGGGATCTTTTATTCCATTAATTCACTGGTGATTGTTTACATGAAAGCAATCATAATATTATAATACAGATATGTAATGCTTGCATATATAGTGTATTATATTTGCTATGTATATTATATATTATTTTTGCATATTCTGGTAGCAACCATGTTTTGAAAATCTATTGCCATCTCTAACGGTTTTTCCGTTGATTTCCCTGGGTTCCAAATTTGTACAGGCAGTAGTGCATATTGGTTGAGAACGCGAGTTCTGGACACAGTCTGCCTGGGTTCAAGTTTTGCCACCCTACTTAAAAGCTTAGTTTTTAAAAGTATATCATGGGCTTCATAGTCATACTTCTCATGGGCTTTTTATGAGGATCAATAGATGAGGTGCTTAGAACAGTGTCTGGCACATAAGGGCTCAGCAAACATTTACAAATAAGTTGATCTCTACCCAGTATATGACCAGCTATTTAATACTACAAATTTTATAACTGAAGACCTGAGACCTGTAGAGGTCAAAAGAGGCCATTTATTTGCTCAAAAAGCATTGAGTGTCTTCTATGCATAGTTTTGCGCTGGGTCTGTGAGGGATACCAAAGATAAATCAGACTGAATCTACTAAAAAGGGATGTAAAAGTCCAATGGGATCATAAGTCAAGAGCCATAAACAAGGCCATGGAAGACAGCAGGCATCATGGGAAAACATGAGCTTTGAAATTTATCCCTGTGCTTGTATTTTCTGCTTACAAATTGGTAGCATCAGTTTTTTCAACCAAATGGGATTAATTCCATTGCTATTTGAGAGTTGTTTTGTTCAGAAGAAGTAGATGCAAGGGTCTAGCACAACACTGGGATGGATAGTATGGCCTTAATAAGTGGCAGCTATAAATAGATACTGAATATTTATAGTACTCTATAAATAGAGTCTGAAGGAGAAAGTGACAGATGAATGCCCTGGAGGAAAAGTTCATAGAAAGGGACCCAGTCTTGAGGGGAAAAAAGGTTATTTCTGGTTGGAGAGATCAGGGTTGGCTTTTGGAAGGGGTACCTTGTGAGCTGATCCTTGATGGTTGAGTTAGACAGTGTGAGGAGCAGAAATGTGGCTGGGAAGATAGTTAGAAATGGATTGTGAAGAATCTTGGCAAATAATCTGGACTTTATTCTACAGTCATGGGAGAATCATGGAATAGTTTTACAGAAAAGAATGCCATGTTCTTACTTATGCTTCAGAGTATCATACAGCTGCTGATCAGGTAAAACATCACCATCATTTGCTCAGTCTCCTATGCCTGACAAAGGGCTATCCTAGCTATTGCCCCTTCATCTTCACAATGCCTCTATAAATGAGATATCTTTTATTTTCCTTTTTTGCAGAGAAATAAAATAGGCTCAGAGAGATAAATTATTTTTTATATAAATTGATCAAATTAGTGAGTGCTGGGATGAGAACTGGACCCAGATCTTTTGGCTTGTGTTGCTCATTCTGGAGTTCAGAAGCTCTGTTAGGAGCCTGTTGCAATCAGCAGGTTTGGAGGGACTGAGGAGACACTAGAATGTGGCAGGGAGGAAGGCTTGACAAGGGGAAGGCAGGGGGCAAAGAGAGGCATAATTAAAGAGGTCGGATTAGAAAGTGACTGCACGAGGTGAGAAGTTAGAACCAGTGTTTTAGACTGAGGTGCCTGGGAAGTAGTGGTGCCATTCATATAGTAGATTTGGGAAACACAGAACATTCTTGAGCACGCATCTCCTGACTCACACCCTGGTATTATGTCTCCCACACCCTGTGGATCCTTTAGTTTAGTTTTCAGAAGTTGCACTAAAATGCAACTGTTGAGTCGTCGCTGCATTTATTCATCTAAGCCCTAGTTCATGTTCATTTCTCAGAGTCTGTGTCCTTTGGTGTCTTCTCTGAGCCCTACACTCTAGACATGGTAACAGGTAGAGAATTCTGTTTAGGGAAGAGTTGTGTTTCAAAGAGCACATGCAAGGCATAGATAAGAACTGGGTATGTATTTTTCTGTAGAATCGGAGCTGTAATGGTGCGATTGTTATTAGGTCAGCTCCCAGGTGCCAATCAGTCCACAATGTCTCTAGAGTGTGGGCCTCAGCCTGTGACATCATGGGCAACTGGAATTCTGGAAAAAGACGATCAGAATAGTAACACAGACATAGCCCTCTTGTCTCACCCTTATGATTGGACTGGGAGTAAAAAACTCCTTCACCTAACCAGTGGTGAAAAATCCTGTGTTTTTATATATGTTCCCCTAACGCCATTTATCTTTGTGTTTTATTTGTTTATTTATTTATTTATTTATTTATTTATTTATTTATTTTTAAGACAGGGTTTTTCTCTGTCACTCAGGCTGAAGTGCAGTGGCGCAATCACAGCTCACTGCAGCCTCGACCTGCCAGGACTCAGGTGATCCTCCTGCCTCAGCCTCCTGAGTAGCTAGGACTACACATACATGCTACCACGCCTGGCTAATTTTTGTATCTTTTGTTGAGACTGGGTTTTGCCATGTTGCCCAGGCTGGTCTCAAACTCCGAGGCTCCAGCCGATCATTTCCCCGCCTCAGCCTCCTAAAGTGCTGAGGTTACAAGCTTCAGCTACCACATCCATCTGTCCATTCTTCTTAAAACCAGATCAGTAAGTTGAAATAAATTATAGGTGGCATTGGACACCACAGCCTCCTGTGCAGCAATTGGTTAAATCTTTTAAGAAAATATTTTTTAAAAAGTAAACAAAAACATATTCTCGAATGACTATATAACTCAATGTGGTTAGATTTTGAGAAAAGCAGTCATCTAATCTTGGATGAAGGATCTGATCCCAGCTCCTGTGTACTGGGTGGGTGTGGTAGATTGCATTATTGTTCAGAATATTTTCTGCCCCTCCCTGGGGGCAATTTCTTCAGTCCTTCATTGGCTTCAGTTATGGCCATGTATCTTTTGGCACTCCCTTCTTGCAGGAAAATGACATAACTCTACTGTTGAACTTGAGTTATTATGTGACTTGTTCCAGTCCGTGAAATGTGGATGGAAGTGACTTGTGTCACTTTTGAGCAGTGCCTTTGAGAGCCAGCTTGTGGTTAACTATTTCTCTTTTTTCTCTCTACCACAAAACCAGCAGTGTTAAAAAACAAAACAAAACAAAAAAAACACCAGTTCTACCTGCCTGGGTCCTAGAAATACAGACAACAGGCAACAGAGGCACAATTGACCTCCAATGGACAAGTAATATAAGCAAGAATTCAACCTTAGTTCTCAAGCCACTGAGATTTTTGGGATCGTTACTGAAGCCTGTCCTTATTCGCTCAATGTGTAACGATTGGGGTTGAGGGCTGGGTCTTAAGCCCTGTGAGTATTCTAAAAAAAATTTCCATACTCTCTGAGCAGATTGCTAGATGCTTGCTTTTCTCCTGAGGATTGAGAAATTGGCCTGTTGCTTTTCTTTTCTAGTGAATGTTCACTTTCCCCTCCTGCTCTGTGGGAGGAGTAAATATTCCTGTACCATTGCTTTGGCCAAGGCACGATGAGTGGACTTGATTTGTGGCACACTGGAACAAGGATGTAAATGTACCTGCATGTTTTGACTCTGCCTCTTGGGTAACTTCCAGGCAACCTAAGAACACACCCCAGGTGTTTGTTTCTTTTGCAGCTTGATCTAGAAGGAGGGGCCCGTGGCATGAACTAATTCTGGCCTACATTCTGGAGCTGACCCCAGCGGAGCCACAGCTATCCACAGACCCGTATGCAAGAAATACATGTTATTACTTTAAGTTATGAAGATCTGACGCTGTTAATCACCCCAGCAAAGCTGATTAATATAGGCAGGGACCATGTGGCCTCTGAACCGAATCCCTCTCTTTTCCTGATTATCAGAACAGCAGTCCCACAGACATAGTTTTAAAGGAAAGGACTATAGGAAATGTTAATGATTTTATTGCCCCCAGTAGGATAAATTGCCTGGGCCCAAAGGTCCTCTTTATGTCTGTACTAGGTGTTTCCATTTCTTTCCTCCTGCCCTATCATAGTACATGATGGCCCTTACTATATGCCTGGCATTTTCCAAGCTGCCTGCCCTATCTCATTGACTCTAGTTCCTTCCTCTAGATTGATCCAGCTTCCCTGTGGTAACAGCAAAGGCAGGGATAATAGTGTGAGCAGAAAGCCACTTGAATGCCTCCTTTCCCAAAGCCAATAACGCAGGAGTGTGAGCTCAGCCCAGTTCTAGTATTGGCTTCCATTAATAGTGATGTGAAACTGGCGAGGCCACATGGATGTGCAGCCACATGATTTGTTAACACCATTGCCCTGAGCAGAGCAGAGGAAGAAGCAACCAGTCTGCAATACCCTGGACCAGGCATCCCCAAACTACAGCCCGTGGGCCGCATGCGGCCCCCTGAGGCTATTTATCTGCCCCCCCCCCCCCGCTGCACTTCAGGAAGGGGCACCTCTTTGATTGGTGGTCAGTGAGAGGAGCACAGTATGTGGTGGCCCTCCAACAGTCTGAGGGACAGTGAACTGGCCCCCTGTGTAAAAAGTTTAGGGACGCCTGCCCTGGACATTCATAAACCAGCAAGACTGGGGTTGCATACTATTCAAACCTCTCCCTGCTTTGTTCCATCTTTGGGTACTATCTAGATCTCTTCGTTCTCACCTTTGGGTCCCATAGTACAATCTGCTTCTGTGGCTGAAATGAAACTTGTTTCTCTACTTGAGAAACTACCATGTCACTGTGCTATAGACATTTGGTATTCTACACAACTGTAGGCTAACTGCTGTAATAAAGTCCAAAAATTATTGGTGTCTAGACACAGTGGTTTATGCATCGCTCACAACACAGTCCACTCTAGTTTGGGAGGGTACTGGGAGGTGGGCAGTGGGAGGGACCTCTGTTCCATACAGTCCCAACACTGGGATACGTATGTACAGGATTCAAGGGCCCAGGTTTCTGCCATCTGGTGGCTCCACCCTCCTCTAGATCCACCAGGGCTCTCCATTCAGCTGGCAGATGGGGAAAGAGAAAGTCGACCTGGCATATCTGTTCTCAACTACCTTGTCCCAGGTGTCACACCTGTCACTTTGCTGACAAGCCCTAGTCACATGACTGTACCTGGAGAAGGCAAGGTAAGAAATGAAGTCTTTCTGTGTGCCCAAGGAGAGAAGATGGATTTGAGCACAATGACTTAGTCTGTTCCACAGCAGCCTCCTATGGTTCCTGGGCAATCCTCCCTTTGCAATAACTCACAAACTAGATACTTTTCCTCAAATCTGTGTAAACCTTATTATGTTTCTGAGGCAACAGGTTTACTTTCTATACTGCAGACACCATTTAGTTTTGCATTGACCTTACTAGTAATTGCTGTGTGCTGGCTTTGTCTTTTTAATTCTGGGGTTTTTGTTTTGTTTTGTTTTTTTTTTTTTTTTTGCCAGTAGTCCGTTTTCCATCAGAACATTAGACCTGCTAACTTCTAAAATATTTTTATGAGTTTGAACATATGGATAGATTTTAATGGCATTTTTTGCTCTGCATTATTTTGCTTCTTAACACATTTAATATTCACAGTAACCCTACAAGACAGGTATTGTTATTTTCATTTGAGAGCTGAGAAATGTAAGATACAGAGAGGTAAACTGTCTTCCCACCAAGTGAGATGCAGAGCCAGGATTCACAGCAACATGAGCCTGGCCTCAGGCCATGCTCTGAACCCTCACATCACACAGCATTGTTTCCTGGACCAAACTGGGGGCAACTGTCTCTTCCATCTTCAACTCTGCCTGCCTCTTCCCTCCCTCATTGAAAAGCTACTCTTGGATCTTCCTCCAGATGTTTCCTCCCCTCCCAAACAAGCTCTTTGCTTGCTTATGGGAGAAACTTCCTCTCATTGGTACCCATGATCTATAAAAATAAAATGAGAGAACAAGCAGGATTATATTAATGTGCAATTTTAAGTATTGTTGGTGAGATTACAGACATATGAATGGAAAATGACATTAAGTAACAAAGATATTTCAGGGAATCCTAAGTATTCCTTCTCTTGCTGGACAGTTTTTTTGGTAATTGCTATATGCACAGTTAATCAACAAGTATTTACTTGGCCCTTATGCTGGAACTTGCTCTAAACGTCTGTATTTCCTTTGTGCCAAGCCTTGCTTTTTTGCCTGTTTTAAGAACCCATTGTCTGTGTAGCTGGTGAATAGAAATAACGATCCTAACAGCCTACCTGGAGATTTTGTGGCACATTGTAAACCTAAGTAAGTATCTTTAGGCATGGAGACTTGGTTGGATGCACTGAGATCTTGTTACTCATGGAAATAGTAAAAATATCGCATAGGTTGTTAGCAGGCACAACCAAAGAACAGTTTCATTCAGAAAATAAAGTCTCTAGAAGCTACAGAGCCTTGAATTATAATTTCTGCTTTGACATGTACTGAGTTCAGTTCTTGGCCTCTTTTTGTTTTTAAGTTATCCTTACCATTACCTACTTCTTCTCTCTTTAGGTTTGACTTCTGATGACTCTGGCCTGAGTTCCAGGATGGTTTTTTCTTGGGACCAGACATGAACAAAGTTGACCTCATGAACACTTCAACCTCTCCAGCTGCCATGCTCCTCCGGAGGCTGCGGCGACTCTCCTGGGGCAGCACCGCTGTCCAGCTCTTCATCCTAACGGTGGTGACATTTGGCCTGCTGGCCCCACTGGCTTGTCACCGACTTCTACACTCTTACTTCTATCTGCGTCATTGGCATCTGAACCAAATGAGCCAAGAGTTCCTGCAGCAAAGCTTGAAAGAGGGCGAGGCTGCCCTCCACTATTTTGAGGAGCTTCCCTCTGCCAATGGCTCAGTGCCCATTGTCTGGCAAGCCACCCCCCGGCCCTGGCTGGTGATCACCATCATCACTGTGGACAGGCAGCCTGGCTTCCACTATGTCTTGCAGGTGGTGTCCCAGTTCCACCGGCTTCTTCAGCAGTGTGGCCCCCAGTGTGAGGGGCACCAACTCTTCCTGTGCAACGTAGAGCGTAGTGTGAGCCATTTGGATGCCAAGTTGCTCTCCAAGTACGTCCCTGTGGCCAATCGCTATGAGGGCACTGAGGATGATTATGGTGATGACCCTTCAACCAACTCATTTGAGAAAGAGAAGCAGGACTATGTCTATTGCCTGGAGTCATCCCTGCAGACCTACAACCCAGACTACGTCCTGATGGTAGAAGACGATGCTATTCCGGAAGAGCAGATCTTCCCAGTCTTGGAGCACCTTCTGCGGGCTCGCTTCTCTGAGCCACATCTCAGAGATGCCCTTTATCTCAAGCTCTATCACCCCGAGAGGCTCCAGCACTACATCAACCCGGAGCCCATGCGGATCCTGGAGTGGGTTGGTGTGGGCATGTTGCTGGGGCCCTTACTGACCTGGATATACATGAGGTTTGCCAGCCGTCCAGGGTTTAGCTGGCCTATAGTGCTCTTCTTCTCCCTGTATAGCATGGGTCTGGTGGAGCTGGTAGGTCGGCACTATTTCCTGGAACTGCGGCGGCTGAGTCCTTCCCTGTACAGCGTGGTTCCTGCCTCTCAGTGTTGCACCCCAGCCATGCTCTTCCCTGCCCCTGCGGCCCGCCGGACCCTCACCTACCTGTCCCAAGTATACTGCCACAAGGGTTTTGGCAAGGACATGGCACTGTACTCACTATTGAGGGCCAAGGGAGAGAGGGCCTACGTAGTGGAGCCAAACCTCGTGAAACACATAGGGCTCTTCTCCAGTCTCCGGTACAACTTTCATCCCAGTCTCCTCTAGGGTGCCAAGAAATGCCTTTCCAAAGTTGGCCACTTCTTGAAGATTCAAATATCGATCTCTTTATTTAGATATGGTTGCCTGCAGGTATTTCACTGTTTACTGTTGCTAGAGATATAGGCACTGGGGCAGCTGAGGACGATCAGTAAGACAAGAGCCTTGGCTTTGGTAGCCTCCTGGCAGGAGCAGCAGTTTGCCACAGGTCCGGACCTCTCCCTCCACACAGCCACACTGCCTCATGCAGTCTGACCCACCCAGTGAGGGTGCATTTGAACACTGGTTATATTCTCCATTTGTTTTTAAGCTCTTCTCTGTGATAGAGCTTGTGACTGCCAAAAATCTTGCGCACAGTGATATGACTGTTTTAGGATCTGAAGGATAGAATTGTGTGAAAGGTGAGATCCTTTGAAATTGAGTTCTCTCTCATTAGGTATGAAAATGGATGTATGTTTAGAATATACACCCAGTGAGGCAGGACCATGTGGATAGATTCCATTTGTTTCCTTGATGTGGCGTAATAAAAACTGATAAAAGCCGTGCAGTGCCCGGCATCTTGGAGGCAGATGATCTGGCTTTTCTGTTACCTGGCATTTTCTTTTTCTATATGTCTGTAGTACACTGATAATTAATATTGTTAGTGAGAACATGAAGGCATGACAAGATCTGGAAGAGCTTCTGAACCATCAAAGTCAGATTGCTTATGTGAGTAGTGATTTAACATGGAATATTTCTGTACTATTCTGACTCTTTGAAAACTGGACATTTCAGAATGATATAGTATGGGAGAGCTCTTTACAAGCAGCATATCGTTTTTCCTGACTCTGCTGGCTGACTGCTTACTCTCATTTCTATTTCTTCTAGATAGCATGATGTTA